TTACCTTGGCAACCAAAGCATTTATTTAAATTATATTTCCCATCATTAAAAAATTTTTTTTAACTCTTCTTTGGAACTGTTCCTGAAGCCTCTGGCACATTCTTCTGACTAAGTCTGAGGGTGACACATTTTTTTGTCCTTTGTGGATAATCCTGATTTTCTGTAAACAGCCTAAAGTTATTTGGCTCAGAGACTGGCCAACAATCAAAATAATACCATTTTTTAAAATTAAAAATAAACCATGACTATAAAATAGGAGCATCTTTCTTTCAGTTTCCAAGAGATGAATTACAAGTCGATTCCAAGAACGGCAGTATTATCAGAAAGGTTTATTCCCTCCTAAGGCGTAAAGAGGAGAAAAATCATTTAGAAGTGCATTTCATTTTTAGTCCCATTGTTCAAGACTGCCCCCTAAACTTTCAGCTTCCAAAAAGGATGCTAAAACTGATCTGGGTTTCCTGTCTTTTTAACACAGCTGGGGGTGGGGTGGGGTTTCTAAATCCTCTATTTGCATATGGCTCAACTGTGCAGATGTTTCCAATGAACTGACATCTGGATCTATTGGCAACTTAGTATCCAGAAGATTTGATTCAAATCAGGGCTCAATACAATCTTTAAAAGTTTCAAAATATTTTCTTCACTGATGAAACAATGTATCTAAAGATTAAAATATCATCAACATCATTACACTGTAAACTGAAACAGCTTCTAGAGTAGATTAGCTTCTGGCATGAATAATTAAACTTGTCCCTGTTATTTAAAAAAAAAATAATGGCAGTTTTTTCAGTACTTCTTTTGGTGGGGAAGAGTGTATGTGTTGGTCCTGGGGTTTGAACTCAGGGCTTAGATAGTGTCCCTTAGATTTTTTGCTCAAGACTGGTGTTCTACCTCTTGGGCGAAAGCTCTGTTTCTAGTGTTTTGGTAGTTAATTATACAGGAAGTCTCACATTTTTCTGCCTTGACTGGCTTTGAAGCATGATCCTCAGATCTTAGCCTCCTGAGTAGGTGGGATCACAGGTTTGAGCCACCAGAGCCCTGTGTAGTGGGGTTTGAATACAGGGTCTCGTGCTTGCTAGGCAGGTGCTCTTCACTGTGCCACTTTTATTCACTAAACATTACACACTTTAACCTTCTAGGTTAAATGGAACATATATTTTCCTTAATTCATTTTTTTTTAAAATTCTGTTTGTTTTCTGTTTTTGTCAGTCAGTCATGGGGTTTGAACTGAGGGCCTGGGAGTGTCCCTGAGCTCTTTTACTCAGCCGAGTGCTCTACCATTTTGAGCCATAACGTCACTTCCAGTTTTTGGGTGTTAGTTGAAGAGCCTCACAAGGACTTTTCCTCCCTGGGCTAGCTTTGAACCGGGATCCTCAGATCTCAGCCTCCTGAGTAGTTAGAATCACAGGCGTGAGCCACTGGCATCTGGCTCATTTGTTTTTTTTTTACTGTAGCAAATTCATACAGCATCATTTCGACCATTTCAAAGCATGCAATCTAGTCGCATTCACTAGTGTTCCACATTCAACACCATTTATCTACTTTCCAAACTGCTCATCACCACAAAAGGAAACCTTGTACCCATTAAAGTCACACACACACACACTCTCCAGCCCCTGACAACACTTTTTTTTTGTTTGTTTCTGTAGATTCAGTTACTCTGGACATTTAATCTCAGAAAAACTATACATTATGTGGCCTTTTTTCATTTAGTATATTCTCAAAGTGGATTGGCAATGTATATCAGGACTTCATTTCTTTCTGTGACTGAATAATTCCATCACATAGCTATATCACATTTCCTTTAACCATTCATTGACTTAGAATTCTGCCTCTGAGCTGCTTTTACCTTTGACTATTCTAAGTCGTGTTGCCATCAACACAAGTGAGCAAGTTTTTGTTTGGACACCTGTTTTCAATGACTTGGGGGTATGTAAGTAGAGGTGGGATTGCTGGGTCATGCAGAAATCCTATGGTTTACTGCTTTTTAAAAAATCCTCACCCCCCCTCCTTAAAAACAAACAAACAACGACCATTAGTTTTATGAGGGAGGAGTTCTATTGAAACATTTCCACATGTTTACAACATATTTCAATCAACCTCACCCTTTCTATCACTCTTGCCTCTCTCCTTCTCCCCTTCTTAATACCATTTCAACAGCTTTCACTGAACCTCTTCATACTGTTTTTATGTTCTATGTTAACTTCTTGAGGAACCACTGAACCTTGACACAGTCCCATACTTATATTCATATTTACCTCCTCCCTCCTCTTCCCCTCCAAGATCTTACTATATAACTAAGGCTGGCCTTGAACTCCCCATCCTCCTTCCTCAGCTTCCACAGCACTGGGATAATAGTTGTATACCACCACACCTAGCTGGCTCATTTCTATGCTCATATTTTACAAGGTGTCTTGGTCATCAGTTAGAAGACACAGGGCTAACCAAACACCCAGGCTGAGCTCCAGGTGGTCTCTTTTTCCACAACAACTGATTAGAAGATTCAGGCTCTCTCTGAGCCAAGCTTGTTCCAAAGCAAGGCTCCACACAGGCCTTTGAACAGTTTTTCTGCTGCTTTACATGTCACAACATGAACTAGCTGGGCAGGAATAACTTCCTGCCTCCTGGGCTTCCTTGCTTTTCCTTTATGCTGCACAGATTTCAGGCAAAAAGATGTTAACTAGCCTAACTTAAGAGGCTTCTCTCCTCTGATTTTACTGAAAAGTCAGATGAGCAACTGGAGTCAATGTAGAACAGAGCTTTGTCCTAGGCAGAAGCTAGTCCTTTCATGGTATAAGAACACGGCCTGTATAACTGATACACAATGGAGAGAGCTTCCATCCAGGCTAGACCTTTATCATACATTTGACCTGATGGCACGGCCTACTGGTCCTGACCCTGGCAACTCACAGATGCAGGATGATGGGCCATCCCACTCTGTATAGACTGTCTACTTCACGGCCCTGGCCAGCACAGCAGGAGATAATCCAACTATAGTGACTGTTTATAGATTGTTTACTGCAACCATTGCATTGAGTCATGAGGCCTCTCAGTCAGGAACCCAAGCCCAGACAGTAACTGATTTACAGTACTGAGTTTGCTCTGATTTTTAAGTTAAACTTGTCTATATGCCTTCCACAGTGCAGACCCAAACTCTGTTGGCATAAGGAAGTTATTGAGCCACAGAAGCCCAAACCAAGGAGCATTATGTTGCACTGAGAAACCCAGACAGACAAATACTAAATACTAAGAAGGACAAAAAGACGGGTGCCAGTAGCTCATGCTTGTAATACTGAGATCTGAGGATGGCTGTTTGAAGTCAGCCAGTGAGACTCTTACTGTCTAAACTACTCAGAACAAGGCAGAAGTGGCACTGTGGCTCAAGTGGTAGAGCACTATCTTTGAGCACAAAGAGGCTCAGGGACAGCACCTAGTCCCCGAGTTCAACCCTCTAGGATGGGCCAAAATAAAGACATTAATTAGTTGGATGCTAGTGGCTCCTGCCTGTAATTCTGTTCAAGAGGCTGAGGTCTGAGGATCTTAGTTCAAAGCAGACAGGGCAAAGTCCAGTGAGACTCTTATTCCCAATTATCCACACACACCACGTGGCTCAAGTAGTAGAGTGCTAATCTGGAACAACAACAAAAACAGAAAAATTAAAAACTGAGGGATAGTGTGAGGTCCTGAGTTCAAGTCCCAACACCACACACACACGAATGCCAACGCTGGTTTCTGAGGTCTTTGCTACACAGCCAGGTTGCCAACTCAGCCGTGGCTTTTCTCCTGGGAGCCCTGGCAGGTGCCCTGGCCCAACTCTACCGTTAGAACAGTGAACAACGAAGCCCCTGGCTGGGCAGGAACACGAAGATGTGCCTTTTGCAAATCCCGGTCCGTGGGCTTCTGTTTCCTTGCTGGGAGTGTCGGGTTTCGGGGGGATCTCGCCATGACCCCACCCCCCGCCCCGCTCCCCGCGATTCCGGGGGAGACCCACCCAGGGCGCCGCGGCTCCCTCCACGGCCGCCGGGCACCGGCCGCCTCGCGCGCGCCCCGGGCGAACGCCAGCACCGGAGCCCCGACGGGGGTCGACAGTGACGGAGGAGGGGGGGGGGAGGCCGGGGGACAGGGGGAACTCCGCCCTCCGACCTTCCGACCTCGGAGGTCAAGGGTGTCACCTGAAGAGAACGCGCCGGAACCTGGCAGGCTCTCCGCGGGCGCCTGCAGGTGAAATAACTTCCCCGAGCGAATGTCACCGGCCCCGGGCACGTGGAGGTGACAGCCGGCGGCGGGAGCACTCGAGGGAGAAAGGGCGACCCCCGCCTCCCAGCGCCCCAGGC